CCCGGCCCCGGCCTCCCGCAGCCGCCGCCACCGTCGCTCCAGCTTCGCCGCCCGGCTCAGCCAGTCGCCGGCGTCCGGTGCGTCGCCTAATCAGCTCCGCCGGGCGCTCAGGGCCGAAACCGAGTTCCGGCCCCCACCACGGCCGCGCGCAGGCGCAGGCCGCACCGCCGAGGCCCGGCGGCTCGACGCAGCAGGTGTCTGAGAGACGTCAGTGCGGGCGGCACGGTAAAGACCCGGAAGAGACGCGCGCCGGAAATCTCACGCCAGAATAACCCTCGGTGGGTTCGACGGAGGGAAGCAGCGCTGCCCAGAATTTAAACCGCATTTTAGTTCATGTAGATGTTCCAGGACCCGCTTCAGTGCGGTCCACCGGCCGATTCTTCGCTGCTCCGTTTTGACACTTAACTTTCAGATGTCCTGGGCCCTGCGAATTTTGTAGCTAATCTCCTGTATGATTATGGAGAAGGAAAAAAAAGTTACGAGTCTCTGGGAGCTTTTGAAAAGTCTTTCCTTTTAACCTCATTGTTCAATTTCAGATCGTACTTATTTGAAAATTAAACTGTATTCTCCATTCCTCCCCACACCCACCTCTTAATTTCCTTGATACAGTCATTATTATCGCGATGTCAGTGTTGATAACGTGTTCTCCAACTTCCACTTCAGCAGATATTTGGCTGATTCATCAAATCCACAAAAATGTGCCGATTGCTTTCCCGGTGTGTGGTGTGACTTTTACACTGGTGATAGAGCAGAAAGGAGATAGACCTCTGTCCTGGTAGGACTTACCAGCAGGCAGATCACCGTGCGCATCTGTAATGTCAGGTTGCAATACTACCAAAGCAGAGCAGACTGGGGACAGTGCCCAGCTATTTGAAATAAGATGGGCAGGGCTGGGAGTGTAGTTCAGTGGAAGAGTGTCTATTCAAGTCCCTGTGTTCAATCACCAGCATCCAAAGGAAAAGAAAACAGAAGATCAAGAAAGACCTCCCAGAAGGGGAGGTTTGAGCAGAGTCCCCGACAAAGTATGCTGGCAGGAGTCTGAAGGGAGAGCAGTGTGGGAGGAGGGGAAAGCACACGTGAAGCAGCCTGAGGTGCCCTTGGGTGATCCAGGACAAAGAGGGCCAGTGAGGCAGCAGGCAGTGGGGTTGAGGGGAGGCATATCAGGAAGAGCTTTGCCAGACATAGGAAGGCGTCGATTCTATTCTAGGCATGGTGGGAAGCCTTTGGAGGGCTGAGAGACTTGCTTTCTGTTACATTTTTGAGGCTCTTCTGGAGGTTGAATGGAGATTGGACACTAAGGAAAGGGCAGAAGGCTAATGCCCTGTGGTGGCAGCCAAGGTCCAAAGGTGGCTGGACCCAGAATAAGCACTGAGGGAACGAGAGGACTGCCTGAGAGTGACCCACTGAAACACCAGCCAGAGCCCAGTCATTGAGTTTGTTGGGATTCCTGCTGGGGGAGCAGCTTTGCGGGCTCTAGATGTGTGGGTTGTCAAGATGGAGGACACATCTGGTGAGGTGCTTGACACAGCGCTATGCCAAGTCTTAACACAAATAATAGGGTTTTTTTAGGTGCTGGGGATGGAACCCAGGGCCTCGCACATACTAGACAATCTTGCTCTACTGCTGAGCCACAGCCCAGCTCAACACAGAGAATGATTTTGAGCACATTTTGAATAAAGTCCATCTTGTTTAAATGATGTTGTGATTCTCCACTTTCTCAACCACCTAGAATCTGTCTGACCTCTCCTTCCATGTCTACTTCCCACTTTCTCCTGTCAGTTATAAATTGGGAGGGGCGGGGTACCGGGGGATTGAACTCAGGGGCACTTAGCCGCTGAGCCACATCCCCAGCCCTATTTTGTATTTTATTAGAAACAGGGTCTCACTGAGTTGCTTAGCACCTCCCTAAATCGCTGAGGCTCGCTTTGAACTTGCGATCCTCCTACCTCCACCTCCTGAGCCTCTGAGATTACAGGCATGCACCACTGCACACAGCCTATGTAATTTACAGTGTTTTTAAGCTTCATCCATGTCATAGCATGTCAAGAACTCTTATTTATTTATGTGTTTGTTTGTTTATTAGTTATTTATTTATTTATTTAGCAGAGCTGAGGATGGAACCCAGGTCTTTGTACATGCTAAGCAAGTGTTCTACCACTGAGCCATACCTGAACCCAACAGTAAATGTTTTACATAGTGGAATTATATAAAATGTGACTGGAGCCAGGCTTGGTGGCACACACCTGTCATCTCAGCATCTTGACAGGCTGAGGCAGGAGAAGAGCAAATTCAAGGCTAGTCTCAGCAACTTAGCAAGGCCCTAAGCAATTTAGCAAGACCCTATCTCAAATTTTTTTTTTAAATATTTATTTATTTATTAATTTTTTTAGTTATTGGTGGACACAACATCTTTGTTTGTATGTGGTGCTGAGGATCAAACCCGGGCCGCACGCATGCCAGGCGAGCGCGCTACCGCTTGAGCCACATCCCCAGCCCCCTATCTCAAAATTAAAAAATAAAAATAATGTGGCTCAATGGTTAAGCACCCCTGGGTTCAATTTCAAATACCAAAAAATGAAAAAGAATGAAATGTGTGACTGGAGGGCAGACTACTGCTCCCTGGACTGCAGAGGAGGCCTACATGGAGGAGGTAGTCTAAAGCTGGCTGAGAACATGGGAGAGCTCTTGCCAATCATGACAGTGCAAGAAGGGTACTTCAGGGATGACCAAGGTCAAGGCACCCAGGTGCAGCCAATGGAGCCAGCAAACAGTCCATTTGGCTGGATTATAAAGTGATGACCAAGGGCAATGGCGGTGGACCCTGGGTTCAATCCCCAGTACTTCAAAAAAGAACAATGTGGCTCTGAAGCTCCAAGAGAAGAGGAGCCTTGAATGGCAAAGAGAGAAGCCCATGGTGGGGTGGGGGGCTCGGGATGTGCAAGAGGTCCGCAGGCCACCCTTCCTCCTGCCATAGAAGCACATGGGCAGGAGGCTCCTTGACACCCCTCCCCTGAGGCTTCCAGAGGACCTGTGGGACCATCATGATCCCACACCCCAGAAAGCCCAGGGAATCCTAGAGCTGGTGGTGAGTGGGGATCCAGTCTTGAGAGCCTCAGAATATACTTTTTTTTTTTAAAGAGAGAGAGAGGAGAGAGAGAGAGAGAATTTTTTTAATATTTATTTTTTAGTTCTCGGCGGACACAACATCTTTGTGTGTGGTGCTGAGGATCGAACCCCGGGCTGCACGCATGCCAGGCGAGCGCGCTACCGCTTGAGCCACATCCCCAGCCCAGAATATACTTTTGTCCACCTGGTGAATATGTGGCCAGGCTTATCCCAGGTGCAAGGACCCAACAATGACCCTGACAAAGTCCTGCTCCTGAGAGGCTCAGAGGGTGGAACTGCAAACCTGGTACCTTACAACCGAGAAGAAGGTAACTGACAGGTGGCTCTTCCTTCCTTGCAGTGCATATGCTGGGGAAATAAATTGGCACTTAGACTCTGGTGGTCCCCTGGGATTGGTGAACCAATTTCTGTGGGTCTGATCTCCTGGGGAGCTGAGGAAGCAGCCAGTGAAACTGCAAAACTGAAACCCATGGAAAAAAAAAGGGCCCTGGGCCAGAGCCCCGAGGCACACACCCCAGCAGCTGTACTCATCAGGCACCTGTGAAGAGCTGGGGGGATCTGTAAAGCCAGGCCAAGAATTCAGGGCCAAGGGCTGGAGATATAGCTCAGTTGGTAGAGTGCTTGCCTTGGGTTCACAAGTCCCTGGGTTTAATCCCCCACACCAAAAAAAAAAAAAAAAAAAAAAGGATTCAGGGCCAAGAAGAAAGACCATCTACCCCTGCACAAGCAGGGGCCGCCCTAACTCTAGAGTGTGACTCGTCACATGATCCCACTGTGACTCTGGCAAGCGCGTGGGGCTCACAGCTCCCGAGTCCCTGGACTCCACAGCTTGCAGCGTAGCCCTGGAGCACAGTGGCACCGCAGGGCCAGCCGCCTGGGCTAGCTCCGTGCTGAAGGGTTTTTCTCCTGGCATAGGGGATGGAAGAAGGGGAAAGGAGCCCCTTGCTGTCCCAGGTAAGCCAGTGCCCATGGCCTCTGAGGTGGAAAGCTTCCCCCTGAATCCCCTAGCAGGGTGGCCCAGCTCCCAACCCACCCGGCCTTGTGTGCGGAGACCTTTTTTGGGCAGATGCCAGAGGACAAGCTGCCGAAATTGGGGTTGGGGGCTTCGCTAATCAGGTGCCAGCTCCCTGCCCACTGCTGTGGTTCTCTCAGTCTGATGCCAGCCTCTGGCAGGTCTTGTGCACCTGGGGGCAAGTCTGGCCCAGCGCATAGCAGAAGGGGAAGACAAAGATTCCTTGAAGCCAATTGTGGATGCCCACTGCCTCAGAGAGCACCAGTCTGGCCAGCTGGGCTCTAGCAGCCTGTCTCTTTGCTCCTACTGATCTGCAGGGACCCCGGGGAGGGGGTGATGATTCCCTTCAGCTCCGCTCGAGTTTGAGTACACAAGGTCTCAGTGCAGTCAGACAGCTTCGCCCTGGTAGCACCGTTTGGCATGGGATCCCGGTCCAGGCTCCGGGCCACAGCTTCTTAGTTCTCACCGGCAGAACTGGACACTTGAGGGGCTTCCCTCACCCAGCAGACAGGCTAGGAAGCCCCTCTCATGCCTGCCTGCTTGGCTGAGCACCCTGCTAGAAGGCCAAGTGTCCCCTTGGAAGGCACTGCCTCTTACAGATGACCTTCCCAGTTTCCTGACTACCTTTCTCCCTGCCCTGGGAACCAGGCAGACAGGACCCTGGCCTGTCCCTTCCTGCATCTTCTACCACAGGGCCCATCTAGCATTCACACTTGGTGAGGGTTCAGCTGATGAAGCCACCTTATAGATCCTGGGATGTAAGAACTGGTTTCAGAGGGGGAGGCAGGAGGGCAGCCACTCGGACCAGCCCCTCTCTCCAGCCTGCCTTTCTTGGCCTGGGTGAGGAAGCCCCCTTTGTGACTACACAAAGTCACTGCTGACCTGAACAGATCTGTTTCAAACACAGAGAAAACAGCCTTGCCTGCCATGTGCCTGACTTACAAAGGTCAGGCCCGGGCAAGGCCCAAGTCAGCCCCTGAATTGCACAGGTATGCAGGGAAGGGGAGAAAGTGCATTTATTGAGCACCACCCTGGTGAATCTTTACTGCAGACCTTTTAGGGTATGGTCATGGCTCTGTTCTAAAGGAGGCTGGGCCCACACCAGCAGCAGACCAGGACCCTTGCTGTCCCTTCTACTGCCCAGCCCAGCAGGACAAGCCCAAAGGCCCCCATGCCTCTTCTCTCCCGTGCCCTCCACCATCCAGCTTCCTGGTCCTCCCTGACTCCTGCTGCTGAGGCCTCACCCCGGCTGACCATCATGAGCTCCTCTTCCCTCTGCAGGATGCTGCCCACTGGGAGCCTCCCCTCCTCACAAACAGACCACCCACCACAAGCCACACTGTTCCACCTAGGGAGGACCAGGTGGGGGCCTGGAGTCGCCGCCGCTGTCCTTCCGGGGCCAAGCACCAAGGCTGGAAGAAAGGCCTGGGGGGAGGCCCAGCCCCCTCCCTCCCCACTGGGTACAGCTGCCTCAAGTATCTGACCTTTCTCTCCAACTTCCTCTTCTCCTTGCTAGCCCTGCTGGCCCTGGCTGTGGGACTCTGGGGCCTGGCTGTCAAGGGGTCTCTGGGGGGCGGTTGGGGGGGTATCGTGCCCCCAGACCCCGTGCTGGGGCTGGTGCTGGGGGCACTGGCAGTCAGCACGGTGAGCCTGCTCGGCTGCCTGGGCGCCCTCTGCGAGAACAGCTGTTTCCTGCGCTGCTTCTGCGGGGCTGTCCTCTTCTTCCTGGTGCTCGAGGCCCTGGCTGGGGCCCTGGTGGCAGCCCTCTGGGGCCCACTGCAGGACAGCCTGGAGCACACCCTGCATGTGGCCATCACCCACTACCAGGACAGCCCGGACCTGCGCTTCCTCCTTGACCAAGTCCAGCTGGGGCTGCGGTGCTGCGGGGTGGCATCCTACCAGGACTGGCAGCAGAATCTGTGAGTCCTGGCGGGGCAGAAGGGGCACGGCCGGCGGGCTCACACTCACCTACATGTGTTCACATTGCCCACACTGTGTGCACACACTCACAGGTTCACAGGGCGCACTCCTGGGCTTTACAAGTGTATAAGCATATGCACTCATGTGTCCTCAAGCACACACTCACCTCCAAATAAGTTCACACATGAATGTGCACCCCCGCTGTGAAGTGCAGGGGCACCTGAGGGTCTCTGGGCCACTGGCTCACTGGGCCTCCTTAGCCCTGGTCCAGACAGGGCTTTGCACAAACAGGGTTCTTATGGAGAAACCACACCAACAGACTTCACTTTTTTTCAACAGTTGGCTGTCCCAACATCAAAAGAAAGTAACTTTCAGGTTAACTCAGGATGTCACCCTAGCTTATGACTCCACAGCTTTTCCTCCTCTGTGTGTGTGTGTGTGTGTGTGTGTGTGTGTGTGTGTGTGTG